CCCCCCCCCGGCTCCTCTGACTCCCCATGCACGCCTTAGGTACATATATGGGAGATATGTTGAAGTATGCATGATAACGCTACAAGAACAAAGAAACATAAGAATCACGAGTAGCTAGATTTTTGAAAGTCAGCGTTCTGGCACCGGGGTTGGCACAGACAAGACCAACCAGAGTATACAATTTACCTCTCTGATGAACATGATGAACAAGTCACAAAGTAACTCCATACGGAGAGAACACCACTCCATCAGCGCCCTACAGACAATGCATTGCTAACGTTGACAACGCACAAACCCTTTATACAAAAGTTGACTACCTTCAACACCGTCATCTAATTTCACACATCCTGAACCAAACCTCTCATGGCTTGGGCACATACGGCGGCCTATTCGTGCCCACCCACGGCCCAGCAGGTCCGACCATCTCCGGTTTCAGATCTTCTATCCTCATCGCTCCTATGTTGCGCATTGTGTTCTGTATCTCCTCCGCCAAGACTACGATCTCATCAGCCTTTGCCCCTTATTCCAACAAATGACTTGAAGGTAAGACTCACTCTGACATAGTCTGACAACTCCCTCCTCCCCATGTGTGCCATTAGCATACAAGAAGCTCCTTCCTAAGCCGACGGCTTTGGCGCCCAAGGCGATCGCTTTGACGACGTCGGCACCTGATCGAACACCACCGTCCATCATGATTTCGAGCTTCTCAAAGAGGTCAGGTCGGTTGCAGCGCATTTCGTAGAGGAGGTCTATGGGTGCTGGAGCGCTGGAGAGTATGGTCAGCGTCTGGACCAGGTAAGGCTAAGAAGCAAGAGCTCACTAGTCGCATTGTCTTCCACCGTGGTTTGACTGATTGCTAATCAGCGGCTGGCACATGAAGACCCGTAAAACTTACCAGGATGACACCTTGCACTCCCGCTTCAGCACACAGGGCAACATCCTCCACACATTGCACTCCCTTCACCATAATGGGAAGGTTGGTATGACTCTGCACACTGGTCAGCCTTCCGCGCATCACCACTTCAAGCCGAATACGCACCCTGATAAACTCAATATCCTTCCAAGTCAAATTTGTATCCTGATACCCCGAGATCGCCGCCGAAACGCCCAACGGACTCTTACTCGTCTTCATCCCATCACTGCTCGGGGGCGGCGCCACCTCCGCCTTGGCCCTCACATCCCTCGTCCTCTTACTCCTCCATGCGGTATCGACTGTAAAGATGATGGCGTCCGCGCCGAGGCGGGTGACTTTTTCGAGGAGGGTGATGGAGGCGGAACGGTCTTTGTTGAGGTAGATCTGGAACATGACGGGCTGGTTTTCTTTGCGGGATTGCATGATTTCGTCGAGGGAGCAGGAGGCGTTGATGGAGATCTAGGTAGGGTCAGAACTGTTTCACGGGAAATGAGAGATACTTACACCTTGGACGATACCACAAGCTCCGGCGCCCTTGGTCAAGTTGACTTCACCCAAAGGGTTTCCCAGCTTGGCCATAGCAGCAGGAGAGATGAATATCGGCAGCGACGTCTTCATCCCCATAAACTCCGTCTCCATACTACCAGTCGTAGCATCCCTCAGTATTCTGGGACGAAAGTAGTAGCGGCTGAAAGCATCCTGGTTCTCATCCGCAGCTATACAATGTCAGCATACAGCCCCTCTCCATCATGTCAGTACTCACTCTTCTCCCGATCAGCAGCGCTCTTATAGTAATTCCACGCCGTCCCACTCAACACCTTCTCCGCCCAATCCTCAAAGTCTTGAACCAACAACATGTTTTCCGCCCCCGGCATCGCTTCCCTCGCTTCCTCCATCGCTAGCTCTTCTTCCGTCGGCTCCACCTCTTCAGGCTCGGGCATGGTCAGTGGGTCGACAGGACCGATGTGTTGTTCTTCGTCCAGCATTTCCAGCGCATCCGGGGGATGGATGGGCCCAAAGATCTTTCTGTGAACGAGGTGTAAGCTTTGAATTCCTGCTGGAGACTCTTAGGGTTGTGACACATACGAGGCGTCTTTACCGGCATTAGCCAGTATGATCTCTGGCCCACCAGGATGATTCTCCATGAAATCTGTTACATCATAAATCTTGCCCTGCAGCTTGTCAGTGATCCCCTACCTCGTTGGTAAAGGATGTATCTTGCTCACATTGATGATGACCCAGCAGTCGTCTGCCTTGTTGTGTTTCTGAACTTCCTCAAAGCTTATGAGCTTTTGTCCACTGGGCTGCTCGATAGTCGTGCCAGGAGCGCGTACGAGCTCGTCTGCGCGTATTGGCGTGAGAGTGTAGTATGCCAACGCAATGCTCTATAGAGTTCGTCAGCCTCTATAAGATCTTGAAAGGATGCTCGACATACTGTAGCAGCCACGCCAGCAGCTATGGCAGACGACCGTTGTCGATACGCTGCCCTAGAGGCCGCCGAGACTGTCGAGCTGAATCGCCCCCTAGGGAGCTGTAGGCAAGCTCTCGCCGATCTTGGACCTGGGACCGCTGCGTTACGCTGTGAGAGAGCCCTCCTGAACATGTTGAAGATATCCAACGGCAGGGAAGTGTAGATGGAGAGCAGAAATGAGGGTTGTAGATTGTTTTTTTGCGTGCGACGAATCGAGATCCAGCTGTTTCGGCGTCATTGCCAGGCTCCGGCCCGGAGATCCGAGAACCGGCAGGACCGAATCCGACCTTTCTATGCATGGTGTATCTACAGCTCTATGTATGTTCTAAATATTATTCTACGTTTCTGTAGAGGGGTAATACAAGAGTGATTAGGCTGCCACCTTGCCCCAGTTCGCCGTAATGTTCTCTTCGTATCACCCCAAAGCAGCTTTGGCTGTCCCATCGCAGCAAAGCGCCCGCCCTATTCCATCCAGTCAGCTCCGCACTTCATCGATAATCTTAGCAAGATACTCACAATGTCGTGTACTTTGTAGTAAACAATGTTTGTGGCTTGCTCAAGCGTCTCTTGAGGAGGCTGATAATACTCAAATGGGAAAACGCTGTACCCCGTGGGACACCTGATGTACGCCTTCTCCGCCATATACACATTCCTCTTGATCCCAAACGCCTACAGCATCCATCAGTACCACACCTTTTACATGCCAGCACTGACTTACATATCGATAAGGATAGATTGACGACGCAAAACTATCTGTAAACCAATACAAACTCGCAAATCTCACCACTTACGTACAGCCTAAGTACATAGAACTGATGAGCTTTACAAGATCTATGTAACTCTCTTCACCCCTCAACCGACAATGACCTATCAGGACACGTCTCTACGAGCTTTTCGCCGATCCATGCGATAAGACTGATGGGGTTGGCACCGACGGTGATGCCGATGGTGGAGGAGCGAGTACCTTGTTCGAAGGCCTAGCCACACATCTGGAGAGAGAGGAGTGGGTCTTGAGGTTCGGCGGCTGGGGTTTCTTGGGCAGGGGTCGCCTCGGCTCCTGAGGAGGACTTGTCAGAAATGGTGGGGGTACCGGGGAAGAATCGGAAATTGAGGTGGATGACTATCCCCACAGGCGTCAGTGAAGACCACGATCGGCAGAGCGCACTTACTTTTACAAGCGGGATGATTTGCCGCCAAAGCGTTCGTAACGAAACTTCCAATATCTCCACCTTGCGCTACATACCCGGTTCCAAAACCGAGCCCTTCCATGAGCCGGTTAAAGACGAAAGCGACGTCGTCGATGCTAAAGTCACGGTCCAGTGGAGGAGCGTCTGAAAAGGCGTAGCCAGGGAGAGATGGGACGATGATGTGGTACCTGTGCATGTCAGTACTCTCCGTGAAGGAAGAAGGATGGGCTCACGGAAGAGTAGAGAGGGTATACGTTTCCTGAACATGTTTCAAGACGCATAGGATTCCAAGAAACATCCAGGCCAACCATGGTTCATGATAATCGGGACAGCGTCCTTCTTCTGGGAGAAGAGGGCTGCGAAATGCACCTTGAGAGGCTTGTCATCTTCAGTCTTGGAGACAGCCGTGAACTGTGGGTTAGAATCGATGTATTCTTCGTGCTTGCGCCTGTCCATCGTTAGCGCATAGTCCTCCGAAAGGACAAGTCAAGGGACATACCAATCATCTTTCACCCAAGCATCCCTCAACTCTGCAGTCCTCGCAGTAGAAGTCTCAAAGTTGTTGTCTTTACAGCTGCTTTCGGTACTCTCAAAAGTCTCTTTGGTGATTCTCGACAGCCGGAGGAGAGTCTTGAGGTCGTCGACGTCTTGTCGACGTCTGACTGTGGGATGGCGACGCGGAAGGGTTCGACGGGGATAGTCGGGGTATTGGGCAGTGTCGAGTACGGCATGGTATCTTACTGAACAGAACAAAGCAATGCAATGGGCTTCTTATAGTCGATATATTCTGCCCCATTAGTCGTGCCATTATTAGTGGGGAACGAGTCGAGGTGGCGATGACCGACGGTCACCACACCGGCTGTTGTCCAAAATGGGAGTCGCAAGTCTGTCGGCCATCCGGGGTCATTCTTCATGTTTCAGGTTTATTTTGACCCGGTCGAATCACTGGGGATCCATGGGGGCACTGCAATGGTGAGCTGTTGGGTGATTCGCTGGGGGTTGTTGGAGAGGGGCAAGGCACTTCGTTGAAACACAATCTTCGGCTCTCTTCGGCTTTGCACACCCTGCGAAATGGTGGGGGCAGTCAATAGACAAGATGGAGGGCAATACATACAAGCTAGGCTCCGTGGGTCGTGGGATAAGACTTCGTGTCTGGAGATCATCTACATTTATACACCGTAAGGTCGAAAGGTCAGAGGCGGATCGTGGGCGACGGGATTTGGGTAGTCATCTGCCCAGCTACAGGGGTAGGCGGCTCGACCTCGAACACTGGGGCAGGAGGCAGAAGCGCTGGGGAGGATGTAGAGGGAGAGGAAGGTCTGGGAACAGTAGCCTGGGCTGGACTTTCCTCTTGCCTTTCCGACTCTGATGCACCTCCTCTCTGCTCCGTATTTTCCGCCTGAATCGCCCCGGATCCACTACCCTCTCCCTCCCCCGGAGTCGGGCTCAAGATCAAACTCCTCCTATGCTCCTCACTCTGCTCCCACGTCGGCGGACCTTCCACTCCCTCCTCCTCCTCCTGGCCTTGCCCTTCTCTCCCCCCACTCCCTCCCAGCGCAAGCACACTAACAGCCTCACTCCCCCTCCTTCTCTTATTCTTCCTTCCCTCCGGCGGATCTTGCATCCTCACCCCAACAAGGTTGACCGCCTCATTACTGCTCAAGAACCGCATCTGATCATCACTGAGCCCCGCACGGGGTATCGCTGTCGAATCGAATGACGCGCGCATGGCAGTGTTCGGTATAGGAGACGAGATGAGAAGTGAATGTGACGAATGCCACGGGGAGGGATAGGTGGACGTCCCGGGGTGCAAGGAAGATTGGGTGGATATGCGAGAAGTGACAGGCTGGAGCAATGGGAGGGCGGTAGCAGAGTGGGGGTGCTGAGACATTTCCATAGGTCGGGACTGGTTGGAGAACCCAGCGCGCGAGAGAAAGTCTTTAAAGGCAGAGCTCGTTCTGGTTCGTAACGTAGGAACCGGCCGGTTATCCGTGCCCGCCTCTAGATCCGCGTTGGGAGAAGAGAATGGCGGCGAGGACATTGCCTCGAGATATGACGGCGCCTCGCCCCAGCCTCGCCGTGTGATAGAGTCGTGGCGGGAAGCATCAGGGGTAGACGTCCGATATGGATTTTGGGTGGTGGTGGCGGGGGCAGAATGGGGCATGGGGGTTGGGGATTCGGGTTGGGCGCCGGCGATGAGCTCGACGGCCTCTTCGGTGATGGGCTCGGGGCGAGTCTCTTCGCTGGATGTCCGGTTGTGCGTAGGGAAGCTTTCGTTCTCCTCGACGAGCGTCTCATGTTCAAGGGTAACAGTGTCATCCGACATGACGGAACTTGACCGTTGCCTGACATTGTATCAGCATGTGCCTCTCCAGAATGACCGCCACTCACCTGACGAGAACAAGCTCCTCATCACCCGCCTCTTTGCTATACACTGGCAACGTCCTGATACTTCTCCCACTCTCCGTCCTCCTCAAGTACTCTCCATTCCGAGTCCGCCTCGGTCGTCCATTCGCCCCTCTTCGGTTTCTGTTGCCGTTCCCAGCGTCCGCACCGCCTGCGGCGTTGTTGTCCACATCCGTCCGCGAGGGTGATCCACTCAGTTCTTCAGCAGTGAGTATACGCGAAGCAGCGTCGGTCCCAGACCTAGACCGCCTCGTACTGCTGAACCGTTCATTCCATTTGCCCGCTATCCATTTCCGGGACTTGAACTGCCATCGAAAATCAGCCAAGACAATCTACATGACCGAGGGAATGACTCCCGGGGAATTACGGGGTAGACTTACCACGAATGATAGGATTGTCCCCAGCACGATGACGACGACCACGGGCACGATCACAGCGGTTGGCACCCCATCCTTGGAGCTGTCGGACGAGGAGGAGGAATCAGAAGAGCTAGACTCGGTGGGCATCGATACCATGGAATGCTGGGTCATGGAGCCACGAGACCCTCCGATCTGGCCATTTTCTCCGCCGTTCTCGCCTTGTGGCCTGGCTTCGGCGAGGGCGGCGAGGAGGAGGACGATGGGGAGCATGGTGGGACGAGGGAGAGTTGTGGTGGGCAAGAGATGGGGGATGGAGCAGGCTGTAAGAGAGACTTCAAGTTTCCATTATAATCGCTGTGTCAAAGTGAAAGGATGGTTGGTGGACAATGCCTGTACCGTCCCTGTGATGGCGGGCCGTGGCAACGAGCTGGGTGTGTGTTTCGTTCGCGGGGACGTGAGGGATTGGAGCAATGAGACAAGACGAGATATATACGCACGATGCATGTGCGTAGCCGTACGAGATGCCATCTTTCCCTTTTCTGGGCCAGTCTACGGGGCGACTAATGCGATGAAGAAGCGGTGTCGAGCTGCGCTTCCGGCCGTCGGCGATAGTACGCGACGCGTCGCACTTCGTCTCTCTGCAGCGTCTGGGCTCGGCATGGCATGGGAAGAGCCGTATGCATACTCTGCCAGATCCAGGAGTGACCACTACAGAAGACACTTGGCTGATCTTGCATCGACCCCGGCCTTGGCTATCTCTGGGTCATAACGAACCCTGTCTTGGTATATTTCTGCATTTTCGTTCTTCACGTATATGGAAAAGATACGTATCGCCAAACTACCCCCAAAGGCCTAATATGTACAATACACAGATATCTGCTAAAAATCGAATAGGAAAGAGATTGATGTCCATCACTGCTAAAAGCTATGGAATCGAGGTGGGGGTTGTTTTTTTTTTTGGCTAGGTATGTGGGGTATCGCTATGGGTATATACATTATAAGTGATTAAAAGGCCAGTATGTATTCCTCTATCACAAGACTCGTTAAAGATCGTTAATCGTCAAGAAACATCGTCTTCGGATTCTCTACCAGACTATGACGAACGTCAGCAACAACTCTCGGAGAAGAGCACAAGAATGACTCACCATAAGTCGCCGGAATCATACCCTCTCTCCCTGTCGCTGGGTCTCTCGCATACCACCACTCATGGCTCTGCTCATCGTCCAAGATCACAACCGCCTGTCCCGCCTTCATCGCCATCTCTCCTTCCTGCAACTCCGGTCCGTCAAAGTCGTACCTCATCGTCGTCTCCCTCTCGTACGCCTCATCATCATCGTCCGCATACCCACCGGCATCAGAACCGATAGGATACGCGCCAGAGTTGTAAGAGCTCGGGTCGGACAGTCTGTCTCGCGCCCGGGAAGACTCGCGCTTCTTGGTAGCCGCAGCCACACCAGCACCAGCCAGCCCGCCGCCGACGAGAGAAGCCTCGAGGGCAGCTTGCACGTTGGCAAAGACATTTTGGTGGGTAGACGACACGACACTGCCTTCCTTGCCGAAAGCCTCTTGGCGCTCTTGGGCAGCCCGGTTGTCCCTTCTGCGGTTAAAGTAGGCGAGAAGGAGCATGAGGAGAATGAACAGAAGGATAAGACCGGTAGCGATGGCGATAGCCACAAGGACGACAAGACCTCGGGCGAGGAAGTGCTTGACCTTGAAGGAAAAGTCCGAGTCGGACCAGAACAGACTGGATCCAGCGCCAATACCGCCAGATGATGAGGATCCGACAAGGTAAGGGTACCAGTTGGCACCATCGTAGAGAGCGCTAGTAGCGTTACCCATGTTCTCGAGGTAGAGGTCACCAGAGACCAACAGCATCCTGTCGTTCTCGATGGTGCCCTGCGCAGTGTGCTCGGAAGACATGGGAACGAAAGCGAGCTGTTGGACAAGAGAGCCGGATTGGAGACTGTCGTTCTGGGCAGTCCAGGTCACGCCGTTCCACTGCTCGAGGAAGGGAGAGCCATCAGAAGACGAGTAGCCGGCGGCATAGACGTTGGTGGCATTCTTGTCATCGGCGACAACAGCGAGTGCGGGTCCACTCAAAGAACCGAGGGCGGTCCAGGACGAGTTACCAAAGTTGTAGGAAGCGACAGAGGCAACGGTGCCGTCGGACAAGACAAAAGAGCCAGCAGCGATAAGAGTATCGTATGAGTTCTAAATTGTGTCAGCCTCACCCTAGACTCTATGATCATCCGACTTACACCGGCAAAGTCCAAGCTTCGCACTTCTCCAGAAGAAAGTCCAGATCCAGGAGTAGACCATCGTCCACCTTCAGAGTCCCAAAGGCAGACACCAGCACAGCCGAGAGAACCAGCCGAAGCAAAGTTGCCTGCAACGACGATGGTGTTGGTGTTGGGTCGAGTTCGGATCTGGTTGACAATGAGATCAGAATCAGAGGCGGCTATCGCTCGTCAGTACAACCGTTCACAAACTCGCAAAGTGAGCTCACCGTTCAGAGACGCCATACCACTGGTCACCCAGCTATCTTGCTTCAAATCATATACCACCAACCCACCCCCAACCCCATCCACAGTAACCCCTTCACCACCCACATACAGCTTGTCTCCAACCACATCCAAAGCCCTGACGACACCAGTAACAGCAGTAGTCGGTCCTGTCAAGGCATCGTCACTCTTCGAATGGAAGGCGACACCCTCAACGTTTCCAGAGGAAGAGGTAAAGTTGCCGCCGAGGATGGTCACGGTCGGTTCACCAGACGCGGACGAGTTGGTCCAGTATGTACCAGCAAGGACAGCAGGCGCGGGGTATGATGCAGAGACGATGGTGGGGGCTGTAGCTCGGGGAAGGAGACCGGGAAGAGTGCGCTCAACGAGGGCGTCGGTGAAGCGGCTGAGCCAAGATCGGGAGACCATAGAGTTGACGTTGAGAGACCGGCGGGTGGAAGTGCTGTTGGAAGAAGCGGATGCTGAGCCGGCGGTACCAAAGCTCACACCGTTCAATGAAGAGATGGCAGCAGAGCCATCGGAATTGGTGGAAAGAACGGCGACACCGCTGACAGCATTGTTGGCAGATCCATAGACCTTACCCGCAAAGTATGCCTCCTCAAGCGAGGAC